TCCCCAGAGCACTCTGTGCCTTGGGCAGAAAGAGGAGTTGGCTGGTTGGCCTCTGTGAACCTGTTTGCGAATGCGGGAGGTGGGTGCTCCTCCCAGAACTAAACAGGATGCCCCACCTCTGCAGTGCTGCCACACACAGAAAAGCAGGATGCCGGAGCTTCCCCCATCCTTCCACATCAGTGTCACCACAGCAGCACCTAATACAAGCACTGCACAGGTCTGCCAGCCCCTCTTCTGTACCTGCTTCACTGAGAAATGGCATCTCTGTTTTATTCTGCAGTGGGAAGGGAAGAGAAAAGGAAAGATAGAGGAAGGAGTTTTAAAGCTCTCAGTGCTCTGAGTTATTGTATCTGTATTACTGAAGTCTGTGGGTGGCTCCCCTCTGTCCTGCAAAGGTCCACATTTCAGTAAGACTTAGAAGATGACACCTTGCTTTTCACAGCTCTCTGCCCTCAACGCTTGCTGAAATATCTTCCAAACCCTGGCTCACAGTCTGGCAACATCTAGAGGCACTTAGCGCTTTTCCTGGCTTTAGGGTTGGGGAAAAGTAGGCGCAGAAAGGAGAGAGGGCTTCAGGGATAGGAGCACAGAAGACCTGCTCCGCAGGTGGGTCCTGCTGAGAGTGTCTGATCCCTGAGTACATCTGCTTTCTCAGGAGATGCTCCCTGCCCTGCAGAGTTCTGAGACGGAGGTTTTTCCCTGAGATTTCTTCTTTTCACCCACTCTCAATGAGCATTTCCGAAGGGCTTTAAGTGCACTTTGCTCTGAACGTCAAATTCTGGTTCCAGTCACCCACTCCATTGGGTGATGGAGGCTGAACGATTTTCTTGCAGCCACTTCTTGTGGGTATAATCCCAGCCCTTGATAAATTTGGGGTGCGCAGGAACTGGGAATACAAGGAGGATGTGTAAATCCTGCCAGTGACCTCCTTGGCCCAAGGGCAGCTGCTGTTCCCTGAGGGACGGTGTTTCCCAGATTGCCTGCAGGCATGGGCTGTGCAGAGCCCTTCCTGCCCAGCAGGCCAGTGGGTACCATCAGCCTGGGCCTTGAGGGTGTAGCGGAGCTGCTGCTCCTCTGAAGATCACTCAGATCCTGACAGGAAGGGCAGATGAAGGACTACCTGAGCCAGCAATGCTCATCCATTTAGCAGGAGGGGCTGGAATTTGGCGATGTGCCTTGACCTGAGACTAAGGCGTCTAAGGATGCGCTTCCCATGCAACCAGTGCCACGGTGCAGGGAGGACTGAACTAACTGGGTGCTGAGCTGGCTGGTCCATTCATCACAGGATTGCTGATGGATTAGCCATGCCAGTTTACCTGGACTTATTAATTCAGTAGCAACACCAGGAGGTCTGGACCCAAGCAGACCTGAATACCTGCATTCCCCTCCCTGCTCTTTGCTCACCTGGGTAGAGCCAGCTCAGGTCTGTGTTGGACATGTCCCACGTGTTGGTACTGGGGTGCAAAGCTTCCTCATCACTTCTAACCCTCTCCTCTCTCACAAGGTCTCAGTTCAGCTCTTTGCTGTCCGCTCTGCAGACCTGCGAGCTTTCTGATGCAGAGATCCTGTGCACGTTTGTCAGCACAGAGCTGACCAGACTCCTCACCAGCTTGTCAGAACTGAGACAAACACTAATAAATCATGGCAGTTATGGATGGGACAGGCTTAGCTCCTACAGCTCAGACCTAAAAGAAGTGGATTGTGGTGTTAGTGCTCTCCTACATCTCCATTCTCGATTCACAAAGCAGCTTTGATGCACCAGTTTGCTTCCTCAAGCTGGCCAAAATGTGTGGGAATACTGGGACTACAGGTGGCCATAAAACAGATGGTTGCAGTATTGACTGCCTGCAAGGCATTCAGTCCCTCTGGTCCAGGCACCAACTGTGGTGTTGACACAAGTATCAAGATACATCTGACTGTGGGCACCAGCATGGCTGCATTGGTGGCTGTGGGACATGTCACCAAGGCAAGCTGTACATAGGGTGGCATCCAGGAGGTGCTTTTCCCCGAGGTTTTGTAGTGCATAGGTACAGAACTAAGAAGCCAAGCTAGGTGTTTTGAGCATTAGTGCTTCAGGTTCTGATGTCTCACACCAGCCCTGGGGCTCAGTTGACAATGCCAAGTTCACCCTGAGATGCCACCACAGAGGTGAGCATGAAGCACGTCTTTGCTTTGCCTGCTGTGGAAAGGTTAATTCCATGATCTCATCAAACAGGAAGAGATTTGGCTACATGAGTATAGATGAGGCTTACTGTATGGCTAGCGAGTAGCTCAGGTTGGCTTCCCTGTTCACCTGGTGAGTGGCTTTTTGAAGGGCAGTTCACATCAAAGCCTGCATGAATCAACCTCATAAAAAGCAGAAAGGTTTTTGATCTCCAGGGAAACTGCCTGTCATTAAACACGAATGAGGGGTCTGAGCCTGCTTGGTGTACAGCATTGGCAGTTCTCACAGAAGCCAACAGCAGGCCAGTGGGATTCAAAACAGACCCCATAAAAGCCAATGCCTGGGTCTTCCTTCCCATATTGTCTCATTAAGGAGGAACTTATTTTCATGAGCTTGGCAACAGAAAGTTCACTCCAACTGACTTGCAGGAGAATTTAGGGCTGGTGCTTCCTTCCGTGATCCCAACCTGCTCGTTCTTTGGAAACCAGGTCCTGGGAGACATGGTAAATGATACATGCCCAAGTCTCTCCCAGCATGGGGTCCTGTGTCTGGACACTAAGGGATTCGAGGAAAGCTTCTTGTGTCCCAGTCAATGTAGGACATAGAGAGGAGGGACATCAAAATGGTCACAATCCCCGTGGGGAGAATCTGGGAAGAGATTGGAGAAGTTGTCCTCGCAGTCAGCCCTGCTGTTTCACAGGCTTTTGGCAGGTGAGGGTCCCTCAGCATGTCAGACATGTCTGTAGGTCAAGCATCAGACCAGCCCCAAGAGACAGAGAGCTGCTAATGACCCTCTCTGCTTCCACCACAGGAGGGTACACACTCTAGCAGAGCTGGTGGGAAGGGACCTCTGGACTATGCCCCGTGCTCAAAGCACATCTAGGGTCATGTCTAATAGGGTCGTGAATATCTCCATGGGTGGAGGTGCCACCACCCTCAAAGTAAGTAAGTGTTTTCTTCTGTTTAAATGGAATTTCCTGCATTTTGGGTTTGTGCCTGTTGCTTCTTGTCCTGTCATGAGGCGCCAGACACCATTTTCCATAATGGGGAAGAGTTCTCTGGCTTTAAAGGGAAGCACAGCATGGGACTCAGGGAGGCTGGGAGGGATGCATACCCACAGCTCTGCCCCACTGGAGATACTCTGTGACCAAACTGACCCTCCCAGCAGCATGTGAACTTTTGTGGACCTTCAAAAGTCTGTGGCAGCACCCTTAAATCCTCTGATTCTGTCTCTGCAGACACAGGTAACAAAGCTGTTTGTCTTCCCCGTTTTTGCATTCCATATTTTGTGTCCATTCTGGGATGACATAAAACCTGAGAACATGGAAAACAGCATGCAAAGGGGAGCTGTGGACCTCTGCCCTGAGCTGGTTAGGAAAAACAGATGATTTGACTAGTGTGGAGTAGTGAATCTGAACTGAGTCTCAGCCTGAGATTTGTCATGTCTAATAGCAGCAAATCAAAGATGAAATTCAAAACGCAATGCTGATTTTGAAAGAGAGCTCTCTGGACCTAAAGAGCTCCTGGTGGGAAGACAGCTGTGATATTCCCAACCAGCATGGGCCACAGCTGGCTTTGTGCCCTCTCTGAGCACACCCCAGGGAGCTCAGGGATTCATCCAGAGCTGATTTTGCTATGCAAATAAGAAAATCTCTGCAGCCCATCCCTCTGCATCCCACAGCCCCTGGCTGGGCCTCTGTTGGCAGAGGGGTGCAGCAGCCCATGTGTGGGCCATGGAGTTATTTGGCTCTCCTGTTTCACCAAGCGTTCCCTCCCTCCCTGACCCCATGTACACAAGCATCCTGGGAAGGAGGTCACCTACCTCCCAGCAGCAAAACACGTTAACCTGGGGGATTGTCATCCCCATCTACGCACGCATGGCCTACGGGACATTCCTTCTTTAATCCCCCCTTCTCACAACCCCTGCACCTTACACTCCTCCCTCTCAGGGACAAAGTGGGAATCAGCATGAGCCTCAGCCTGGAGGAATAGATGTGTTTGTGTAGGGTTAGTTTTCAGTAAAGAGTTTAATGCATCCAAACAGCGATACTGGACAGAAATACCAAACTGGCACCATCTACAGCAGTGGCTGGAAAAAGGCAGGTAAGAGAGTAATTATCATTAGAGGCTCAGAGATAAGGTTACCTTTAAGCATTTTCAGTGTGTCCTTCCCATGGCCCAGTGCCAATGCTTCGAGCGACTGCCTGAACCCCAGCACAGCCACGTGGCTCTGGATATGATAATCAAAGCCTTCAACTCCTTTTCCTTCTGCAAATCCAGCCTAATCCAGGGACACTTATCCAGAGGCATCTTCAGCTAAATTTATGCTGCTCCATGATTTGTGGTGTGTTGCCATATTTTGTTTAGAAAAGGCATGGAAATATTGATGGGTTGTTAGATGGAGGCTGAAATGTTTGGCAGCTGGGCTGGGGGCAGCCAGGCTCTCAGCAGATGGGAAGATATAGGAGGTGGTTTTGCCTTTCTGAGTAAATATTGCTGTGGTATTAAAAGAGTTGCCAACTAAACCATTTCGGTGTCAGCACTGTGAACTCTCTGAATAGAAATGAAATGGGCAGGAGCTCTTCACATCTCTGTGAAGGTGATGCTCCACTTGGTTTGTGTTCACAGACGGGTGTTGCTGCCTTGGTTAAATCCCTTTAAATCCCCTTTTATCACCGCTGTGAGGAGCTGAAAACTCTTTAATATGATAAAAGTGATACACAAAAGCCCTTGGTTGAGAAATTTTATGAATAGTGACTGAGTCTGGGACCTTTGGATCTTCAGAGCTACTTTATTTTGGAACCTGGAGCAAAACCTTTGGGACTGCGGGTTTGGAGGAAGATGTGAGCACCACTGCTCATCTGCCTGCTGCTCCTTGCTTTGTGCAGAGGTACAGCAGAGCCCCTTCAGTGTCTGCAGGACACAGGCCTCTTTACACATTGGTGTGCCGGGGGAATTTGGACCCAGTTCTAGGGCTGTCTGCCCAGGGTAGAGGGGATCTCTCTTGGCCCAGGGGATGGCTCTGGGTCGCTTTGCTGACATCCAGGGGAGGTTTCTCATAGTACCACATTTTCAGGAGTTTGTTCACCTGCTCCCGATCTGTGATGCCCCGGAGAAGATCTTGGTCTCCTTCAGCCCCCTCTCCTTCCCTCAGCGAGCTGAAGCTGTGCAGTTTGATCTCTTGCCGCATGCTTTCGAAGAAGTGGAGGATGCATTTGTGAGCGAAGAGCCGGCTGTGCTCGCAGCACGTTTCCTCAAAAATCTTCTGCTCCATGTCAATGTAGTTGCTCCAGTGACGTGCCTGCAGGAGGGCAGCCTGGTTGAAGCAAGGTCTGAGCCACCGGGCGAGGAAAGCTGCTATGATAAGGATCAACAAAATACTCCACCCGAGTGCCTGGGAGATAGGAAATGAGCAGTGGAACAGAGTAGGACAGGCACAAAGACAGGCACAAGCTGTTTGCCTGCATCACCAAGACAAGGAATTTGTGTGGCTGGGAGGGGAGAGGTGGCATTTCTGGACTCCTGTCCCTGAAGTCCAGCACCCCTGAACTGCACTCAGAGAGTGGGTGTAGTCTCCTCCCAGTGAATATTGGACATTTATCTGTGCTTCAGTGGTTCAGGAGGAAAACTGTTTGCAGTTAGCCTGGAGCCACCAGATATTTGCTTTGAGCGTGAGAGCATCCCAGGGTAAGGGACTTCAGTGCTCTCCTTTGGTCATCACCTATCTCCAGTGAGATCTTCATCTGCCACCTACACTTGCTCTAGGGCCCAGGAGTCCCATAGAAAGGTGAAGACAGCCCTTACTACATGCAGCTGCCTTTGGTAAGAGGGAAGGGCTTGTTTTCAATGCCCTCCCACTGGTCCTCATCATTGACCCAGCATTCCTGTACCAGCAGTGTGGGTCAGACAGGGCTCCACTCTCCATCATGTCCTCTTCTACTGTTCCTGAGCAAGCTGCTTTTGTCTCTTTCAGCTTATTCTGTCCTTAAAACAGCAGGTCCTACCTGCAAAGTTAGCATTTGAAAGGTATTCTGACACTGGACAGAGCTTAAGGACACATCTATATTCCTTGCAACCTGCTTTTGTTATCTGGGTTTAGAGGTTGCTGGTTCTTCTAGAAACAAAGCTCAGTTGCTTAAACCATCCTTTATTTCCTTCCTTTTCCCTAACTGAGTGACACTGGAGATTATCCCTGGGGGTGGCAACATTTGGGGGCATAAAGAAGCAAAGAGCAGTTTTGCTCTCAGCCTGACCATGGTGAAGCTATCACAAGCCAAGGAAAAACAGGAGCAGAAGATGCATGCCCCAGGCACCTCACTGACATGGGGGGCTCTGCCAGCAGTGACCTACCTGGGACCAGCAGCGCAGGTACCTGGACACTGCCTTGCGGGACGTGTTGTTCCTCATGAGCTCCTCATCCTTGCAGGGCACCTTGGCCAGCAGCTGCTGCACCTGCACTGGGCTGGCGCTGGCAAAGTCCACAAACTTCCCAGGGTCCATGGAGCTGCTGAAAGCACAGATCAGGCATTTGCCATCCAGGAGGGTGACTATGATCCAGGCAGCAGGGGCCACCATGGCTCGCTGCATGATGGAGGAGCATAGGTACCTGCGGCAGGAGAGAGAGAAGTGAGCGTGCAAATGTTGGTAGCTGTCTCCTCATCCAGAGCCTTGGTGGGTTTGGCCCTACCAGAACCAGGGAGCCTACTCCTAAGACTGTTTCCAGCATTTCTCCAGCTTCTTCTGCTCTGGGATATCTTTGTTGCTGCTTCCTCCCAGTGAAATCTGTGCAGTGCATGGCAGTGCTCTGCATGCTGCCTGCATTCAGTGCAGTGCATGGTCCTCTCATTTTGTGCTTTCCTCAGCTGTATGCTTATATCTCCCATGCACAAATCCTTGTTGGCTCTCCCTTGTCTTCCTCATTCCCTCTTTGTTTTCTCATCAGCTCAGTTTCTACCTTGAAAATCACTTCTCTTTGCAGCCCTTCTTGTCCCACTCTGCTGAATTGTCCACTGTGTAAGACTGCATGATTGAATGTGATTCTCCGCTCCCTTCCACCAGTGCAAGTCAGTTAAAAACATCTAAAGGGAGGGAAGCCATAAGGCTATCAATAAAAAATGACTGTGATGGAAATGTGTTTACTGTGCTCCTGCTCCTCCAGACTCATGTGGGAAGGTCTTGGGAGTTAAGCTTAGAAGAAAATTAAGCACCAGGAGGATCAACGCTATGGAGGTGAAAGCTAAGTGGGAGGTGAAAGTAGGGATGCCATTCCCAGTGCAAACCCCACCTGATGACAGCCAGGTCCTTCTTTCTGCGCCCCTGTGGTCTGCTCCATTCCTCCAGCATCACCAGGGACTGTCTGTTGAGGATGAGGCCGCAGAGGAAGAGGACGATAGCAGGTACAAACATGATCCCCAAGCCATATGCCATGTTGTAGTGGGGCAGACAGGGGCAGCTGAAGTCAATGGAGGTATACATCTTTATGCTAGCCAGTGTTAACAGCCCACAGATCCCATTCATTACAGACTCTGAGTTTGACTGGAAGTACTGGAAGATCATCCGGAAACGGTCCATTATGTTCTTTTGTCCAAGGATGCTTCTCCTGGGGAATCCCTGCTGCAGCCTGCCTTCCTTCACCCCTTCTTCTGCTGCCACAGGGCAGGGGACACAGCTCAGCCCACAGTCAGCTGAGGCAGGAGGGTGGGCTTGGAAGCTTGGAAGGGAGCTGCTGTGGCAGGAGGAAAGCCCTGTGCTGGGGCTTCCTCACTGGCACACAGCTCTCACGGGTCTGTCTCTCACCCAGTGCTTATCTTCTGGGGCAGCTGGTAGCTTCTCTAGGTGAGCAGATGGATACAGCCTCTGGCAGCTGTTTTCTCTATGCTGTTTTTCATTTTCAGGGCTGTCCCATGTTCCAACCAGTGACAGCCTTCAGTAGTGCTGGGTCCCTCCCTCCTGGAGATGCTAACTCTCAATGGAGGGACATCGGTGGATGACTGTCAGTTGCCTTCTTCACTGATTGAGGCCTGTTGAGTGACTAATGAGATGGAAGAAACCAGACTTATTTGTGTTATTGCTGCTGCTCCATCTCTTTTTGGTGAAGCAGGTCCCCAGCCCACAGTTGGGCAATGGGGAGGCAGGGAGCATATACCTGGTTTACAGTATGCCACATCACCATGAGCTCAGATTTCCCTATGGAAATGGGCTGAAAGGACCAACCCTTCAGTCAGGAGGCTATGAGAAACAATAGCTTACAAACCCTGGAATGGCACTTTGGGGCAAACGCTGCTCTTGGCTACACAGCACACATGAACTGTGACATTTGTACTATACTTACACCCATATCCAAGGCCTTTGTGCCTTTGCGCTGGAGCTCACTCTTGCTTCCCTTTGGAGGGCATGGTGCAATCAGAGCAGCAGCCTCATTTGTCCCAAGGGACTGGATTATCATCTTCTGTCCATTCTAAATACCTCAGAGGCAATTCCTCTTTTCCTCTCCAAAGTTTATTTTGCAGATAAATACAGCTCATTGCCACACAAGGGAGCTCCATTTTTTTCTGATGAATGCAACATCATTTTCCTCTCCCCAGCTTTCATCTGAAAACATTTTCAGATTGTTCCTCATCTGCAGTTTCCATGTGCATTCAGGAAAGGGGGGGGGAAGTGTTAGATTTACCTATTTTGTCAAAAAAAAAGGGTACTTCATCTCCATCTCCACTGAAATACACTTGCTGTCAGCACTGAGGTTTCTGCCCATGCTGGCTCCCACTGCAGGGCTGGTTACTGAAAGGGAGCAGTAAGAAAGGGTACCTATAGCTGCTGAGAGGCACATACTCACAGAGCCACATTGTCACCTCCTCCAATCTAAACAGCAGCTTGCACAATTACTTTAAGGAAATACAGTTCCATCAACCATAACATTTGTGTTTCCCTTTACCTGAGAGTGGAAATGAGTGTTAACATTCATCCATCAGCAATAAAAAGCTGTGGCTAATCGGCTAATGTTTCCATTTGCTATTATAGGACATCAGGACCCCTCCATTTTGCTGATTAGGGCATCAGAACCCTTGGCTGACCTGCACACGTGATTTTTAGCCAGGGTGCAGCTTGTCTTGGTTCCAATTGCTTTAATGCTCATTGGGTTTCTCATTTAATGGCTTGCATTTATGTGCTGACTTGGGTTCAGGAAGTGTTATGCATTCTCTGTAGAACAATTGCTTTACAGAAATCATTTTGCCTTTCCAGCTTTCCTGGGCAAAACCTCAGTAAAGGCTAAATAGTTCCTCACAGCTCAGGAAAATAGAATGCAAAAAGAGAAGGAAGCATCCTCTGGACAGCACAAGCTATGAGGGAACTTAACTTCTCCTAGATGCTATTCCCTGGTCTAGGCGTCAGAGGTCTGTAATTGGTGCCTCAGGGTAACTACTTGTAATCTGGGATATCACCAGTAACTCAGACCTGAGACATGGAGTTGTTGAATCATAGAAGACAGGGAACATTGCTTTATTTGTGGCAAAAGACATTGAGAGCTTCCTGGGAAGAGAGAGAGAAAGGGCCCTTGAGGTAAGTAAATTGTTAGACATGAGCAAGTGTTCAAAATTATTCTCAAAACTAAGCACGTTTGATTACTTTCAGTTCTTAGGGTGAAACGAAGAAGAAACGATGACTAAAACCATCTGTCTCCCCTCCTCCATCAAGGGGACCTGCCCCACCTCCCCAGCAGTGCGATCGCCGTTCTGAGCTTGCTGCAAGGCTGCCTGTGATCTCTGGGGCTGTTGGACAGGGGCACCATCCTCAGAGGAAGGCAGCTGCTCCTTGGCAGCAAACCTCCATACCCCTGTTGGAAGCTGTTGTTCTTCTGCATGTCTTTTGGACATCCATGTTGGACAACCCTTTGCTTTTGCCTCAGCACTGCAGAACACGGGGAGAGGGAAGGGGATGCCCTAACTCTTATATGGGAGTAAAATACCAGCTATAGGATTTTTGTCTTAGATGATGGAGAAGGTGGCGAGTACAGGTGCCTTTTTGGTGAAGTGCAGCCATCAGTCCCTCTTGCTTTGGGGAAAAGAATGACTTCATCACCTACATTTGAGCTGGTTATTTAAAATAGAAGAAGTTCAGCACAGCAGTATGGTAAGTTTTGTGCATGAGCCTGTGATGGTGGAGCAGCACTGATGCTGTGCACACAGCATGCACGCCTTCAGGGTGCGTGCATATCCAGAACAAGCCCTTATGCATATATTTAGGAGGGGAGCAGAGGGCCAGCAGCACAGTTTAGTGTATCTGTGCCACAGCTCCATGCTCACTGCTGGGTTGGTCCCCAAAGGATGGAGGCAGGAGCACTGTAGCTGTGCCAGCAACCCTGCTTGCTCCCTGGACTCCCCAGCAATGAGTGCAGTATGAGTTGCTTTGTCACCCTTTGTCTCCTTTTTCTGCGTTGGGACTGGACCCTCTTTCCCCCAGGAAAGCCAATGTCCAGGAGCAAACATTTTACCCATCCCAAAACTTGCTATGCTGGAAACAGGCCATTGCCATGAGCACTTGTTCTAGCAAGCAGGGAAGGCCCCATGGAGCTCTGTTGGGAGCATCCCTGGCCCATGGTGGCATGTGTGGGAGATGATGGGTTACCCCATTAGAAGCTGTTTGCAGTTGTTTTTAGCTTTGACAAATTATTTAATTACCTGGACTGATTTTTTTTTTTTCAGTCTGAATGTCTGCCTCAGGCAAAATATTTTAGGAAACTGTTGCTCAGGTTGGAAACGCACAAAACCAGGATTTATTTTCCCCCTTTAAAAGCAGGGGGTTGCAATTGATCTGCAAAGGCACAGCAACTCTGACACCACCTCAAGGGCTCAGTGGTACCTGTCCTGCTCCAAGTGGGTGCTGCCATTGGGCTCCCCCCATCAGCTCCACAGGGGCTGAGTCACCACCCTGCTCCTTTTTGCGGCTCTGTTGCTGGCTGTGGAATTACCCTGGGACAAACTGAGACGCGGAACTGGCCCAGCACATTCTTGGGATGCATGAGTCGAAATTAATTTAGTTGTGAATGTCTCTTCCTTCCTAATTTCTTGGCTCATTAATTGCTGCAGGGGGATGCTGCCTCCATGTGATGTTTGGTTAAAATGAGCACTGTATGGCCACAACGAGCAGGTACCAAGCAACATTTCCCTTTATGGGGTTAAGGGTGTTACACATGGGCACCCAGACGTGGTGCTGGGAGAATGAGTAAGTGACTAGCGAAACACTGTGTCCCTGGGGTGTGAGAGCAACTACCTTCTCCCAGGTAACCAAGGGAGGACTGTGGTCCAATCTTTGCTTTTGGCACCTCGCAGATGGTGAATTGGAAAATTTCTTATACCTGGCCTTGTTTATTCATAGGACAAGGGTTAATGCTTTTCAAGGCTTAGATTAAATATGTCATCTTGTGTTTAAGCGAAGGCCATTAACACCATGAATCACCTTTACCAGCAGCACTGCCTACAGACCAGTATCTTGTTCCTCTGTAGTTCAGCTGGGCGTGTTGCTAACCCTCAGCACACAGGTAGGCACTCGGAGAGCCTGTCTATACTTGACCAGCAGGCTGCAGCTGAGCTTAATTATCTATTACCTTTTTCGTACAGTTTGTGGACCAGTCTCCCACCGGTATCTGAGGGCAGTGGAGCAGCATCTTTGCCTTCTTTCTCCAGAAAACAGGCATAGGACTTTACCCCTCACTTCCTGTGACTCTTTCAGCATCTTCAATTTATCACAGCAGAAGTCACCTTCCATTTCAACTGCCCATGAAGAAGGACATAGTCAATATTTCTGCCCTCCAAACACTATGCAAACTCCTTATGGTCACTGGTAGCAGAGACAAATTAAAGCACTGTTGGCTCTGTGGGGCAGGGGCTACCCGAATCTGAGTATTTTTTGCACAGCTGAGTACTCAGCCCAGGCCAAGCAAATAATGAATAATGATCATTAAATAATTAATGAGGTGCTAGCAAAAATAATGGCAGCATTGTGAAATGTAATTTGTCTTCACTAATGATGTTCTCTGGAGATTAGATACTCCTGTATTCTGTCTTGTAACTTCATTAAAGCACCAGCATGCAGCTGACTGCCAGTGAGGAAATATACAGCTTAGTTATGTGTTGTTCTTCTTAAGAGCTCATTATCTATTGCTTTTCTGGCCATTAGCACTTAGCTTTTTGGCTTATGTGGAAACCCTGTTTTCCTGAACTCTGCATTATCCCAACCTTGACCCAGTTCACACCATTTCTGACTGAAAGATCTTTCTGCAAGGCCATTTACCTGTTTGGCTGAGAGCTGATGCTGCAGTGAAATCATCTGAGATGAGCTGCTTCTTATCTCAAGAGTGAGTTAGAGAGCAAGGTGGAGAATTAGGGAATCAGGCTGATCTCTTAATATCATGGCTTAGTGATTTTCAGGCTTCTACTGATTTGCTAATACTCACGTATCTTTCAAGGTAGGTGCAGGCCCCAGATAGCAGATTTAAGGCAGCTGACATTTAAGTAGCTTTTCTTGTTATTTTTCTCAGATTCTAAAAGTTAAGCTGCAGCCCTGGGGATTCCACAGTTTGCAGGCTGAAAATTGCTGATAGCAAGCTCTTCTTGAGAGATTGGTTTGTCTTCAGTTTGCAGAGGTGTCATAGAAACTATTTAGGTGTTTAATAGGAAATGGAGGCTGGGTGGTGAAACACACCTCTGCTGAGACCCTGGGTCTCTGCAGCCACTGGGGTTTGGGGCTGTCACAGTCCTTGTCTGGTTCAACTACTCCAGGAATCAGACCAAGTCCTTCAGTAGCTGGATTCATGGCTTTTAAGCCAACATTTCTGTCTCTGCTGTGTTGTTAATTCACCAAAGACCCACAGGTAAGTCACAGCTAAAAGCTGATATTGCCACTGTCCGGAGATGCTCTTGGTTGGTAGGTGCATGAGCACTCAGCCTGCAGACACTGGCTTCCAGTGATCAGATCCCATGCACAGGTTGGTTTACTGTCACTCTTCTCCTGGCTATTTTGTTGAAAT